CTGTAGAACATCAAGGTTGTATCCTCTCTCCATACCTATTCAATTTGTGTTTAGCAAATCATTCAAGAAGGTAGACCTTACAAGAATGTGCATTAGGATTGAAGGCATGGTCATTAACAATTACTTGTTATGCTGATGATAGAACTTTGCTTACTCAAAGAGAGACAGACTTACAGTGCTTGTTGCGTAAGATCAAAAGACTGGAGCATTAAATACGGACTCCATCTCAATATTACAAAACCAAAAATGCTGAGATTTGGGGGAGCTTCATGGACACCAATGTGGAGCAGGTTGAGATCAGATAACTCAATCAGAAAAAAACAGAATCTGTTAAAAACCAAACCAAACCAAACCAAACTGAACCGAACCGAACCAAACCAAACCAAACCAAATTTGTTGCTTGAACTTGAGAACTATGAGGAAAACACCAACCTTGAATTAAGCACTCCACTGAATGAGGCTGATGAGCTTCGGGTATTAACCCAGCCAATAACAAGCTCCACATGAACTTCTCAATCACTCTGAGGGTGAGGCTCAGGTAGAATTATGCATTTCTAATAACCATTATCCAAACAGTCCTGAGTTTTGCAAAGGGAATGTTTGTAGGTGAAAACCACATGATTCACTCCAGCATACATACATAACCTTTCAAGCTATATCTCCATCTCAATTGCACCCCTCAAAGATGTCCCTGTGGTTCTGCACTTGAAAACCTTTGGAGGTTATAGAAGCAGCATGCAGTTTCCTGTATTTGAGTTGACAAGACAACTCCTCCCGTTTTTCACGTATGCACTGACTAGCCCAGGCTCTGACAGCAAGCCACTCAGCTATTTCAACTTTAATCACTGCCGACTGGGTACAAAGGGTTGTAATACAGCTTAACCAGAAGTTTCTGTTACTAGAAGATGCTAATATAAGGAATGCTCCACTTCATGAACATTTCACATCCTTGCAGAATGGTGGCCAGTTACATATAAAACCTAGTGGCAAGGTCACTGTAAATAATAAAAATAATTATTTGGCTGACAATAATTGTCCAGTCACTGGAACCACTTTTAGCTACTGAAGACCTTCAGGTAGAGGCATATTCCCTCCCTACTTTGAGGAATTATAAAAGGTGCTGATTAAGATGGATGAATTATCATTCAATGCATAAGAAGCTCAGTGTGGACATAGTTGAAAACTCTAACTTGATCCGAAGTTTGCTGGGGCTGAGGTTGCTTGTCTGATGAGGAACATGATGAGACATTACATGGAACTATGATCTAAATAAGGACATCATGCTTGGAGAGGTGGAGGAACAGCTCAGGAGAGGAAGACCCTGGATGAGATGATAATCCATCTCATAGTGATTGTGGCAGTGGTGGAAGGTGTGATTGGCTCAGGACGGGTTCAGAGCTACTACTGTACACAGGGTCACTATGAGTTGCAGTTGGCTCTATGGCACATAACAACTACTGGTGGCGGCATCACGCCTTACATGATGCACTAACCAAACTGTCATAGGTTTGAATTCATCAGTTGCTTTGACGGCAGAAGATGGGCAGTCCCATCCTATAAGGATTTATAGCCCTAGAAACCTAATGGAGAGTTTGCTTTGAGTCAAAATCACCTTGACAGCAGTTGGACATGATCTATATTGTTCTACTTTACTTTCTTTTCCACTTGTCAGCCTTCACACTCACTGCTACTGAGTTGATTCTGACTCATAGAGACCTTCCACTGGGTTTCGGAGGCTGTAAACCTCAACAGGAGGTGGCTGCCCATCTTTCTACAGAAGATTAGATGGAACGGTGGATTAGGAGGGCAACTCCCTTAAGTGTATGCCATCAGAGCTACCTTTGCCAGTCTTAAATTATGCTAAAATAAAAACACAGCAAAAAAAGAACAGGCCTATTGCCCCACTGCTCATATGGTTTTAAAAATCCTGTTGTTTCAGAAGTGGATGGCTACTCTCATGAATGCTCCTTGAAGGCAAGGATAACTTTATCTCACATGCTTTGGGTGTATTGTAAGGAAGGGCTACTCCTTGGAAAGAGCATGCTTGGGAAGATAGAGGGTCAATGAAAGAGAGAAAGACCTTTAACGAGAGGGACTGATACAGTGATGGCAGCAAAGGGCTCAAGTATGTCAGAAATGATGAGGATGGCACAGGATGAGACAGAGTTTATAGCTGTTGTTCATAGGATCACTAGGAGTCCTACTGATACATAACAACAACAATGGAAGATATTCAAATGGCAAACACACACAGGAAGAAATGCTCTAAATCACCGTCAATAAGAAAGATGCAAATCAAAACCAAAATGAGGTACCATCTCATTCCAGTAACAGTGGCAAAGTTTAAGAGGATAGTAAGTAATAAATGTTGGAGAGCACATGGCGAGAAAGGAACTCTTACACATTGTTGGTGGGATTGTAAAATGGTATGACCATTCTGGAAGGCAGTTTGGCACTTTCTCAAAAAGCTGAACATAGAAATTCCATATGGCCCACCTATTCCACTACTTGGAATATAGCCTGAGAAATTGAGAACTGAGGCACAAATGGAGATTTGTACACCAATGTTCATAGCAGCATTATTCACCATTGCAAGAACATAGAAACTGCTCAAATGTCCAACCATAAAAAAATGCATTGAGAAATTATGGTACATTCACACAATGGAATACTACGCAGCACACAGGAGCAATGATTTTGTAAATTATTACCTAACTTGGGAGGGACTGGAGAGCATTATATTGAGTGAACTCAGTCCCACAAGGATAAATATCGTATAAAACCATTATTGTAGAATGAGTATAAGGATCCAAGAGGGGTGGGAGAGGGTGGAAGCAGAGGGATGAGGATGTGCAGGGGGAGGGAGGCATTAATTACGGGGTTGTACAATTTGATGGGTGGGTGGGTGAGTCCAATTCTTATAAAAATTTCTTCAGTTTTTTAAAGCTGTAAATTTTCATAGGAGGAGACTGTCCACCTTTTCCACTCAGAAAGGTTTATGGATTAAAACTACATACCTTTTTGGTTAACAGGCCAACACCTATGCACTATGTCATCAAAGCTCTTTAAAAAGAAATGTAGTTATATTTCATTATCTCCCAAAGAACAGTCTATCAGACGTATTATTCCAGGTAGAAAAAGTATAAGGTATGTTTTAAAAATAACTTTCCCATTCAAAAGAACAGATGTAACATTATAAACAAGGTAATTCACACCACAGAGAAATGCCTTGCATATGACAGAGTAAAGGCCTAGACTACAAAGTATGTCCTTCTCCTAACCTGTGTAGGAAAACAGAAAAAATTATTTCTGTGCATATTTAAACTGTGCCAAAAATAAGACACTTTGAGAAAGAGCTAAAAATAAGCTACAGTACCAAGAGTGGTGTAAGCTGCTTTTAAAGTGGTGTGCACCACCAGGATCATCATGCAGATTTTCATGAAATCTCAACCACAGTAAGCCTTCAAAACAATTATCACTGAGAGAGCCCACCAAGTATCAGCACACTTAATTCCTTCATCAAATGTAAAGAAATAATATAAATCTACTAAGTGATTATTTCATAAAGAGAGGTGGAACATTGTAGTGTATCCCAAAGCTAGTGGAAATAAAGGTTTAGATATATTTTAACATGGTTTGCTGACCTTCAGAGCTGGAAAAAAACTGTAAAAATAATTTGGCAGCTCGAAGTGAACACAATCCAAATGTCTTATGAAAAAATACTTAATTTCTGCTTTTATTCAGACCCTGTACTCCCTTCTCCCCTTAATAATCACTCGCTTCTACACAGTTTAGCACAATTCTTCTCATTTGTGTATGTTCTTCCCCTTTTCTTTACCCTACCTCTAAGCATCTCAGTTCTGATTCTTGCAGTAAAGGTCCCTATAAGAAACCACCAGGTTTTAATGTGCAATATACTAACTATAAATTTAAGAGAAGTTGTCAGAAATTAAATGGAACACACAAAGATCAGCATTCAAACCATTAGTGAGCTGAGGTGGATTGTTACTAGTCACTTTTAATTAGAAATACACACACACACACACACACACACACACTTGACCAACAAAGAGAGAGCTTTGTGGGCCTGGTGGATAGGAAGATATGCTACCAAGTCAAAGTTGGGTGATTTTAATATGCACCCGTCAGGCCTTGTTTTAACTATTTTTGGTCAAACATTCTTCTAAGTGCTATAGCTCTGGTCTATCCATTTGCTGTACAGAGCAACTTGTGGTTGCTATGATGCTAAACACTGTGACACTGAAGCATCAAATGTGATAATGGTTACCCATGGTGGACAGTGTTTGGTGGAGCTCCCTGATTAAAGCAAGCTAGGAAGCAGGAGTGGCATCCAATTCCTAAATAGCTTGCCTCTGGAAACTCTATGAACTTGAAGAAATGATGAAAGTTATACAATTGTTCAGGTCTTTATTTCAGAGTCTCTATGAGTTGCCTATGACTCAACAGGACATAACACCACCACCACCACTACCACAATAATATACATATATACGTATATATATATATGTATATATGTGTATGGATATATGTGTGTGTATATACGTGTGTGTATAGCCATGTGTATGTGTATATATATGTATGTATAGATATTTATGTCAGGAATAAAAATTGAGTAAGAACTATTTTTCATTCAAAATAAAAAAGGCTATTTCACACCCCCCCAAAAAAAAGAAACCACCAGGTTTTATGCTCACTTGCCATCTTAAGTACCATTACTTTCAGAGATAAAGTGAAATACCTGAATTGGGTGCCTGAACTTTCCATCTTAAAATCATACTCCCGTCCCCCTGTACCTGATTCTTCTCTGAGGCTTCATGAACATTCACCTCTAGTGCCACCTCAATCCTGTCACCCTACCTAAAATACACACCTCCCAAAATACACACCCTCCTGTCTGCCCCGTTCTCTTCCAAAAGGTTGCCCTCTTTTCCCCCTTAAACAGATCTAGGAATTGATCTTTTGCCGGCATATCTCGTTACCTTTAGTCTGCTTTAATCTCCTCAACTCCTCCTCAGAAAAGCCGGCCCAACCTTGCGCCATCCGCCCTGACTGGGGGTACCTTAGGAGCATCCAAACCTAAACCCCTATACTGCCAACACTACCTCCCAGGCACATCCGGGTTCTTCCTCAGCTGTACAGCCAATCAGCGCGTCGAGCTCCAGTTAGCCCTCACTGCCGCAGGATCCGGCTTCCTGCAAGGGTGGCTATAGCAATGCCGGAGAAGCTGCCTAAGAAAATATTGGAGATGCATCCATTTATATCCTTTGATCTGTCTCGTTTCTCTCTCTTTCTTTTTTTAACTATTGATAAATTAATCGACTCGCGAGATAAGGAGAAAGTGGCTTTGGGGGTAAATTAGGTGATAAACAGGCAGTTAGGAAGTGGCCACGAGTCGTGGCAGAAAGGCTAGGGCATCATTTCGCCTTCTGGGGTCCTCTAAATTCTCTGGGACTCAGCGGTGCACCTGGTAGGTGGGAGGAGTGGCCTCTTTGGTTTATGGAATTTTGATTCAAAGCCCAGAATTTTTGGCTGAAAGGGTCAACTGGGCTAGAATCCTTCATCGTGGTTAATTCACGAAAGCTGGCGGACTTCTACTTTATTGATGAAGAAATGTTTGAAAGACCTGGGGTGTAACATAGACAAGGGACAGACACATTTAGCAGTTGTTTCTCTGAAGCCTGGTCTCTTTCAGGCCATAGCTCCCCACAGATTAATATGTGGGTTGTTTTCTTGTTTATTTTGTGAATAATTCTCCCTGACGTGTCGCGTTTTTCTTGACAGATCTCATAAGTTGTTTTCCCAGTTCTTTTTATGTCCACAGAAGACAGTGCAAATCGCTGGCGATGGTGATGGGACATTTCCTAGGATATCCCTCTTCTGATTTTAAAGTTTTGGTTCTGCCTTGAACATTTACCTCTCTAGGTTACCTTTTTTTCAAGAGTGCTGTAAGGATTAAAAGACGCAAGCGTTATCAAAGTGCATGCTAATTAGAATGATTTAAGAGTGGGCCTTTACTCCTTTTTGTTTCTCTATCTCGCATTTAGTTACTTTGGCTTACATTTAAAAATCTCATGCATGACTGTAGTGTCAGTATGATTTTAAACAATAGAAAAATAAAGTGGATATTAACTATAGCAAGAAAAGAACTCTAATGATTTTTTCTTATTTAGATAGTTGATCAAAAGGTGGAAAGTTTTAAAATGTCTGTTGTGACTTTTAATAAATGTAGACTTTATAAATGTAGACTCATTTTCTGTCAATGACACTTTTTTTGTTAAAAAGACGTTAGGATGCATTTCATCCAGTTTGAACACATGAGATACTTTCAAATAAAGGTATAGGCTAGCCCCAAAATACTCCATTACACAGCCTCATAGATAATGCAGTTTCTCATTTGTAAAAAAAAAATAGTCGACAAGCTCATGTAATAGTGATGACTTTTACATGCTTCATATTGAATTTTACATGTAAACGGAACTCTTTAGTTCCACATAGGTGAATTTTACAAATTACCAGTAATCTTAAATAAAAACGATGGTGCTTAAAGTTTTTGTGAAAACATAAAATCAATCCATATAAAATTACAATTTGCAGTTTGTAAAATTCTGTATGGTTCTTCTAAAAGAACAAATCTCCTTTAGAAGAAGTGCAACCAGGATGCTCCTTGGAGGCAAGGGTGGTGAAACTTCATCTCACATACTTTGGACATATTGTTAGGAGGGGTCAGTCCTTGGAAAAAGGCATCATGCTGGGAAGAGTGGAGGGTTTGAAAGAGAGGAAGGCCCTCAGTAAGATGGATTGACTACAGTGACTGTAACAATAACCTTGAGCCTGTCTCAGATCTTGAGAGGGCAAGGTTCAGATCTGTTGTTCATAAGGTCAACTTACCTTTCTGTCAGAGAGCTCTGGAGGCAAAGTCCATAGGGAGTTATCCTGCTAGCCCAAAGGTGGTGCCTCTTGCAGTTTAAATCCACCATTGACTCCCTAGGAGAGGGATGAACAGGCTTACATATTTGGGCTTGTTGTCAGGAGAGCTTAAGCCTTGTAAAAATGCATCAAGCTGGCAACTGACTAGCAGTGGGCTAGTAGAGTCAATGAAAGAGAGGACAACTCTGTAAGATGGATTGGCACTGATGAACAATCTCTTGTGCGATTTATAGCCTCCTGAAAACCTACTGGGGGGCGGGGGGGTCAGATATGAGTTTCTGAGATGGACGTAATGAGATGTGTTTCTATTGATGCTCTTGCATGGTGGCTGATTTCTTCAAATGATACGTACACTTTTATTAGGAGCCTGTCATCAGACTAAGATGCATCTGATCCAAGTTATGTTCTCTGTTTTTGTGTGCCATTGAGTTAGAACCGACTCATAGCTAACCCTTCACCGGGTTTTCAGAGGAAATAGATTGCTCCAGAGAAGTTTGCCCATCCTTCTCCCATAGAGCAGCTGGAGGATTCAAATTGTGTGCCTTTGGGATTGCAGCTCAGCTTCTTACCACTAGGCCAGTCTTCCTTATTCGCTGTCCAACTTTCAGGTGCATACCCAGTAATTGAAAATACCCTGCGTGGTGAAACAGGTTCACATAATTGGGGCATGTTGTCAGGAGAGCTTAGTCCTTGTAAGAAGGCATCATGCTGGGAACTGGAGAGAGTCAGTGAAAGAGAGAGAGGACGGCCCTCTAGGAGATGGATTGGCACTGACAAGCAGTGGTCTCAAGCACTTTTGAGATCACTAGGATGGAACAGGATAAGGCAAGGCTTTTATCAGCTGTGAGCCGTGATTGACTTGACACCTAACGACAAAAATCTTCAGCCACACCTTGGAAGAAAGATGAGACAGTCTGCTTTAATAATAATTGGCCTTATTAAACCTGTAGGACAGTTCTGTGCACTGCGTAGTGATGAGTCACAATTAACTTTTTTGAGCTTATTTTCAGAGATGTTCTTCTGTGGAAATGTTAGTCACTCCAGATAGAAATGTTTCTACAAAGTAATTTGGTGGGCCCTCAAAGTTCCAATTGTCCTAAACCATTTTTTTCAGGTACTTTTTTTAGCAGATGACACAACCCTGTTAGCTGAAAGTGAGGAGGACCTGAAGCTCTTGCTGTAGAGGGTCAAGGGCTGCAGTCTTCAATATGGATTGAAGCTCAACATGAAGAAAACAAAGATTCTTACCACTGGGCTGATTGGCAGCATCATGATAGATGGTGAAGAGGTTGAGATTATTAACGGCTTCAGTTTCCTTGGCTCCACAGTACTTGGTACCAGCAACCAGGAAAGTAAAAGACAAATTACACTGGGAACGTCTGCTGTCAGAGATCTCTCCACAGTACTGAAGAGTAACGATGTCAGTCTGGAGACAGGTGCACATGTTACAGGCCATGGTCTTTGCAGTTATTTGCTGTGTATTAGAAAGCTGCACAATGACTAGGAATGATAGAAGAATTGATGCCTTTGAGCTGTGGTGCTGGAGAAGTGTATTGAATATACCATGGATTGCGAGGAAAACAAGTTTGTCCTGGAGAGGGTGAAGCCAGGCTTGGAGGCAAGGGTTCTGAAGCTTTGTCTGACATACTTAGGAGATGCTGCAAGGGAGAATCAGTCCTTGGCTAGGGACGTCATACTTGAGAGGGTGGAGGGACTGCGCAGGAGAGAAAGACCCTTGATGAGATGGATTATTTCAGTGACTGGGGTAATGGGCATAGGTGTGTTGGAGACAGTAAGGTAGGCACAGGATAGAGTAGGTTTTAGGGCTGTTACACCTAGGGTCTCTATGAGTCGTAGGTGACTCAATGGCACACAACAACATAAATTTGGATCTCAGCCCCATATATGATACAAGCCTTAAGTGTTTTTGTGTTTTTTGTGTGTCATTTAAAAAAATTCTGTTACTTATTATAGATAGTTGCTAGGTACCATCAAGTTGACCAAGATAACCACCCTGTGAACAACAGATCAGGACTTTGTCTTACTGTGTGCTGTCATCACTGTTTCTACCATGTTTGAGCCTGTTGTTGCAGTCACTGTGCCAATCCATCTCACTGTGGGTCTTTCCCTGACCTTTTCACATGACCTTCTCTAGCATGATGTGCTCTGTTTTGAGGAGACAGCTCTTCCCTAGTCACATTTTCCAACCCAAGGGGCTCATCTTCTGGCACTATATCCAGCATAGTTCTACTTTTCATAGGATTTTCACAGACCTATTATTTCAAAGGTGGATGCCTTGTCTTGCTTTACTTAGGCTTAGTTTTAAAGCTCTGTTGAAATCTGTCCTCTGTGGGTCACTCACAGTGTTTGAAATGCTGGTTATATAGCTTCCAACATCATGTCAACAAGCAAACACCAATGTGGCAAAATGATAGACAAGTGGTGATACAGATATGAGATGCTTTCTCAGAGCAGCTGCCTAAACTTTTTCTCTACCTATTATCTGATGGGTATTCTTTTTCTGCCTTTCAAATTTATTTCCAGGATTTTTCAGCTCTGTGTCTGTTCTACATTTCTTTTGCTTGCTTTTAAATTTTTTTCTTAAAATATTAAATGTTATTTAGCATTATGTGTTTATGGCTAGAAGGGGACAATCTCTGGCAATTTAAACTTTTGTTTCTAATTGATTCTCCACCAGAGCAGCCAGAATAACTTTTTAAAAATAAACAGCTAATCCTATCCACAGGCTAAGTTAAACTGTTAAATGATTTCCCATCACTCTTTGAATAAAATCCATTTTGGCCTCCTGCCAACCTCTTTTATGTGACCAATAGGCTCACTCTCTTTCCCGTGCAGTATACTGACTCCTGCCAAACTGACTTTTTATTGGATTTTAGAAATATCCTTGTCCCAATCTACCTTACTTAAAGTCTTTACATATGTTCCATTTTCCTTTCACATTTTTTTCTTATCTGTCTGGTTCCATATAATTAATTAATGGCTTTTTTCTAGTGCCCACTTAGACATTTTATGACCAGGTGGTTTAGTGGGTAAGAAATTGGACTGCTAACCTCAAAAATAGACAATTCAGATCCACCAGCTTCCTTGTGGGAGGAAGATTGGCAATCTCCTCCTTGAGATTTACAGCCTCTAAAACCCCCACTGGAAGATCAAGTATGAATCCATTC